CAACACTTTCTGAACCGGTGACGTTAAAAAAGCAGATTCGCAGATTCGCAAAGCAGATTTGCGGCAACCACGGAATCGTGAAAATCGTCGGATTCGTATAAGAAACGTCGACGGTCCGATCGGAATTGTTCGATCGTTTTGAATCGTTTTAATTTGCAGAATGGTGAGCACGGTGTTGGCGATGCTCATGAAGGAAGGCTTCGACGTGAAAGCGTTAAGAGCTTTCCGAGTGTTGCGACCTCTCAGGCTGGTCTCCGGAGTGCCAAGTAAGCGGATTCTCCGTATGAAAGCGAGATCGGCGCGCGAGTCGCGACGACGACGCCAATATGGCGGCGGATACGGCGGCGATCGTCATCCTCGCGAGGAAGACGCGCGAAGTGGAAAACCGATCTCCGCTTTTTGTCGCTGCTCGTTCGCCGCTAACGAATATCCATGCTCGATCTGTTCTCAGGTCTTCAAGTGGTCCTAAACTCTATTCTGAGAGCGATGATACCCCTACTACATATCGCTCTGCTGGTCCTGTTCGTCATCATTATTTACGCTATCATCGGCCTCGAGCTGTTCTCCGGGAAAATGCACAAAACCTGCCGGCACAACGTCACCGGTAAGCACTCTCACTCCCGCTTTGTTCATCGAGCTCTAGATGGTCCATGGGAACGATTCGGATTACGCAAGAAGATTCACACAGAGTCGTCCGAGGCACATCATCGATCGGCCCGCACGGGCCGGCGAAGAATTTCCTTGGAGAATGAAATATCGAAGAGACCGTGCCAGGCGACCGAGGGAGTTCCCAGTTTAACCCTGAAACACACTTTGTGCCGCGCGCTATTTTAGATATGATTCAGACAACGCGACAACTAACTCTAATTATTCTTAGCGCGGGAATCGCGAGCTCGGCGTACCACTGTCCCCCACGTTGAACAGCTGATTCATGGAGACACGCGCGGCGCGGTTCTCTCTGTTCCCCCCTCCACCGTCAAGCTCTGCCGTCCATTTGACGGTGCTGCCACGTCGCTCGAATTAGATCGTTGACGATTCATTTTTCTTATTGAAAATTAGCAAATTTGTCGAGCGACGTCCGCCGCATATTTGAACGTTTAAAAATCATATAAATTTGTTCTAAGTGATAACGAAACAATTATTACGATATTTACGCGTTCTCTTGCCTTCTTTTTCATCTAACATTGTGTCGTTATGGTTACAATGGATTATTAGAAAGTAAACGATATTGAAAAGAAATTTAGATTGTAAATTTCGTTCGCAATGATTTCAAGCATGTTAACAATATTTTTCATAATTTTATCGTAACTTAGAAAGGATGTTTCTCAATTTTTATTTAACACTAGCATTACTTTATTACTCTGTTAATCTAGTACAAATTAAAGAGAGTCCGCATTTATGCAAATATTTCATATAGAAACAGAAATTCTGGTCCCTACCAGTAAAAAAACTCGATCAAAAGCGATTCGAGGCTATTGTTATTATTGAAATCTTAACCATTTAATAGTAAAATGTGTCGAAAATGTTCATTTTTGCACTGCACGTTAAAATCGACGGAAAACTATCAGTTGTAAACAAAAATGCACGGAATTTGTTTCTATATTAACCTAAAAGTGTCAACTACCAAAACTGAAAACAAAAAAATTATAACCTCAAATAAAAGAACGACGATGCAGACGTAACGATATCTATTGGTGCAAACCGAAATTACTTTCTTGCCGACAAGATTTCCGGTCCCAAAAAATGATAAAGAGAAAGAAGGTTAAATATAACCCTTTGCACCCGAGTGGTGACTCCGAGGCACCATGAAAATCGTTACACCACGTTCCAAGATAATTTTTGTAATAACAAAGCTTACGTATAAAGAATTGTGAAAAGTCTAACTGTTGTACCAGTCAGAAGACTCAATTTCATGCGCATAAAATGCACTTTGCCATTAAAATGGAAATATCACAAGTCGGGAAAGTTAATTCTAATTTACAGTTAATATGGCTTCGAGTGCAAAGGATTAAACGGTGACAAAGGACGACAATACGAGAGCTCGCGAAGAGAAATCGCGCGTGAGAATCGGGACGAAAATACAGAGAAAAATGTCCGGAAAGCGTAAGCGACGAAAACGATCGCCGTAACACTATCTATTGGTGCAAACCGAAATTACTTTCTTGCCAAGCCAATGCATAGATGAACACAAGTAATTTCGATGATCATCGTGATCGTTAACTTCGAGGTTAAGATCGTTAACTCGAGATAGTCTGGAACGACTCAAAGCGTATAAGTTAATTGTATAAAGCATGTCGCAATGATTCTATTATATTTGGCCAAAATACGTCGTGGTTTGGAAACTTTGTTTCGTGCGCTCCGATGGCTCAGATTTGTGCGCCAGGAAATCTGGGATTCATAGCCAAGGATTGTTCCACGAAATTGTTTAATGCTAACAAAAATGCCGATCGTTCGTCAAGGACTTCTTCACGGTAACGTGATCCAATCGCTTCTTTTAGGATTGCCTGTTTCATTAGAAATTCCATTAAGTGACTTTCGATAAATCCGACGTGTTGTTGAATGTTTCGCTTTCAGGGGACAAATTTAAATTTATTTCGCCATTCCACAATTACACCGATGCACTTCCGCGAAGGACAAACTAAAGAAGTTCGATCAACGGTGTTAAATTGTCCTGTATCTGTTCCTATCTGCAACAGGAACAAAATTATAACCCAACTAAAACTCAATTTGGTTTTTTTGGTAACTCAATTTATCCTGCATTGGACCTAATAATTATCTTATATAAGATCTTTAATATTATTTTTATATATAAGTTAATAATATTCCGCATTATAACCTTAACAAAAGAACAACAATGCAAGCATAACGCTATCGATTGGTGCAAACCGAAATTACTTTCTTGCCAACCCGATAAGATCTCCGGTCCCAAAAGATAAACAGAAAGAAGGTATTAAACGGTGATAAAGGGCGACAGCGCGAGAACTCGTGAAGAGTAATCGCGCGAGAGAATCGGGACGAAAATACAGAGAAAGATGTCCGAAAGCATAAACGACGAAGACGGTTGCCGTAACGCTATCTATTGGTGCAAACCGAAATTACTTTCTTGCCAAGCCAATGCATAGATGAACACAAGTAATTTCGATGATCATCGTGATCGTTAACTTCGAGGTTAAGATCGTTAACTCGAGATAGTCTGGAACGACTCAAAGCGTATAAGTTAATTGTATAAAGCATGTCGCAATGATTCTATTATATTTGGCCAAAATACGTCGTGGTTTGGAAACTTTGTTTCGTGCGCTCCGATGGCTCAGATTTGTGCGCCAGGAAATCTGGGATTCATAGCCAAGGATTGTTCCACGAAATTGTTTAATGCTAACAAAAATGCCGATCGTTCGTCAAGGACTTCTTCACGGTAACGTGATCCAATCGCTTCTTTTAGGATTGCCTGTTTCATTAGAAATTCCATTAAGTGACTTTCGATAAATCCGACGTGTTGTTGAATGTTTCGCTTTCAGGGGACAAATTTAAATTTATTTCGCCATTCCACAATTACACCGATGCACTTCCGCGAAGGACAAACTAAAGAAGTTCGATCAACGGTGTTAAATTGTCCTGTATCTGTTCCTATCTGCAACAGGAACAAAATTATAACCCAACTAAAACTCAATTTGGTTTTTTTGGTAACTCAATTTATCCTGAATTGGACCTAATAATTATCTTATATAAGATCTTTAATATTATTTTTATATATAAGTTAATAATATTCCGCATTATAACCTTAACAAATGAACGACAATGCAAACGTAACGCTATCTATTGGTGCAAACCGAAATTACTTTCTTGCCGACCCTAAATATATGCTTAGTTTCGGTTTCGTTGAACCGCAGGCACGATCATGGAAGGAGCTGTTCCCTGCGGGCCAGGCGGTTTCCAGTGCGACAACGTTGGGCCCGACTATTACTGCAGCAAACAGTTCTGGGAGGGTCCGAATTGGGGGATCACGAACTTCGACAACTTCGGCTTGGCAATGTTGACGGTCTTCCAGTGCGTGACGCTCGAGGGCTGGACGGATGTGCTGTACAGCGTAAGATCTACTTCAAACTTCTATCTAGGTTAACATTCCGTTATCCGTGCCGTACTTCGTGAATTGTTTCAAACAAATGCGCCAAGCATTTTACTTCGGAACTTCGTAAACTTATTACGTAGTGTCCACTCGAATTTTTCGAAGCGGAATAACAATGATCCCCGGGTGTTACGGAAGTGGAAATAACGGTATCGAAAAGAATATTTTATTTCCGATATAATTAATATATAAAAAATATATATAAAAAAATATATATATATAAAATATAATTAATATATAATAACGGCGACAATATATAATATATATAATAATATATAATAACGGCGACGTCACTTGACAATGAAAAATAGGTTATGTATAGTATGTACGTCTCGTAAATTTAAAATCGTTCGGACGATTAGTCTTTCGGATGCAAATTTCGCTGTGTCAGAAATTATATATAATTTAATATACAGGGTGTCCCAAAAATGTCTCGCAATCCGAAAGTCATTCCTTTCATAAATTCATTTCCTTTACAAAAATTAGAGGCGAGCTCGGCTGGCGCGAGGCGGCGACCGAGCCAATGAGAGGAACTGGGCTTCGCGCGCCGGTTGGCTGGGCCGCCTCGCGTCAGCCGTACTCGATTCTTATTGGTCACTGCGTTTTCGTTAATAACTCGTTAACGGTGCCTCGGAGAACATATTTGTAAAGGAAGAAGTTTCTTCAAATGATCCGAGGAACCCGCCGGATTGCGAGACATTTTTGGGACACCCTGTACAATTTATAATATATATATATATATATATTGTATATATATATATATATATATATATATATATATAATAATATATATATTATATTTATAATATAATATAA